TGTAATGTACTTTTTAATAGTGTGCCCAGTTACTTACTCGTGAAGGCACCGCTATATTCTGGGGTACTTACCCAAGCAGTTGTTCTTTTAAAATGAGTTCATCATTGGATAATAGCAAGGAACCTCTTCTGAGTTCAAGGGCAGGGGGGCTAATTATGCAATCCAGCACCTACCTGACCAAGATCAGGTAACTATATAAACCAGTTCTCTATTCTGGTATCATTCCTGGTGTGTGTGGTTCTACATGAGTACCATTAGCATGTAGAAAATCTGAAGTATAGGCAGAGTATAACAAACAGTGCATATTCAATTCACAATATAGCTTCAATTAAAAATCTCCAGTCAGGAAAATATTTATCATATAGGATGTTTTCACCACGTTGAGGCGAGAAGCAATCCAACACGACATGTTAAAAGCAAATCAACTAATTTAATAGTACAAATGGTTTTACAAGAATGTGCATGTTGAAGGCAATGGTGAATGCAAAGGGTAAAAAATAACTAGCGCTTCTCTGAAGCTTCTCTCACGCAATGTGCCATCAGAGAAAAATTGCATGTGTAATTATACTACAGGAATAAATTACTAGTTCATGCGGGCATAGTGTCTTGTTGCAATCTCTGTCATTTAGTTTAAAGGCAGTGGCTGTGGTTCACGTATATACCATGCTACTATACACCAGCAGAGGGTGATGTCTACCAATCAAAATAATAGTGGTTACCAGCCCATTAAATCCATTCCCCTGAGTAAGGGCATATAAAAAAAAGCCTGAAACCATGGGTTTTTATATTATTCACTGCTCCACGCAATATTTCTGACCAATGTAAGGGAAATGGAATGCAGTTTGATCAATATCAAATAATTATGTAATATGCAGTTTCGCCAGCCTGTCAAAGGTTTTATAATAATCCTTTAATTTGATATAGTGCCTTATTACATCGTCGAGGCGTTTCAAAGCATTCACAAGATTTACTGTGAAGTGAGGTGTATATTTGAAAGAACGTGGCAGCCAATTTGCACACAGCAACAAAGGAACAGGAAACCATTTAGCCCTCCCAAGTCTGTTCCACAAATAATATTTAAACCTGAGAGGTGATGGAAGCAAAGCTATTTTGAGCAGCAGTTAACTAGTAATAAAATACTATAATATTCAATCTACTGCACCAAAATGTATGCAGTTCTGAACCTAATTTCTCACAGAATATATGAAAAGGCTTGTGTGACGGGAATGCTTCCTTGTCTTCAGCTCTAACCTTGCCTTTCCCCACTCCCCCCATCGCATTTTTTTCCTGAAAAATCAATCTTACTTTGGTCACAACTCCATTGAACTCTGCTGTCTAATTCACTTTATAGTATATTCTGTGAAGCACTTTGAAACGACTCGAAGATGTGATAAGGACCTATATCAAATGTAAGTATTATTATTATTAATTAGCCTCAAATGCCAAATAGTGTCCTAAACATACTGCATGATTTGTTGAAATCAAAACTTCCCATCTATCTTGTACTCTCACTCACTCTTACCATGGACCTCACAAATTTAGAACTCCCCAACTCCCTAAGTTCCTCTTCCTCTTACATTCTTCAGGCTTTTAAACTTAAGGTTTGCATCACCTAAGTGGTCCTTTCCACTATTTACAACCCTAACAATATTCTGATGATGTGTCCTGACCATGCTAGATAGTTTGAAGGTGATAGACTGCAAAGATAAACAGGATAGGTTACAGGAGGACTTGAACCTTCTTAGGAATTGGACAGATTGATGACAGGTGAAATTGAATGTAGAGAATGCAAATTGCTTCACATGGGGACAAAAATAATCTAGGAAGGACTATTATTTAAATGCTAAGAAAATAATCTGTACAGAATATGAAAAGAACCTGGGGATCCTGATTGATAATAAATTGAAGCAATCGCAACAGTGCTCGGCGGCACTGAGTAAGGCAAACAAGATGCTGGGTTGCATTAAAAGGGCAATATTGAGCCCAAACAATGGGGTAATCCTGCCACTTTATAAATCACTGGTGCAACCCCACTTGAAGTACTGTGTGCAGTTCTGGTCTCCGTAATATAAAAACGATATTACAGTGATTGAGAGGATACAGAGGAGGGCAACCAAAATAATTGAGGGGATGGAGGGACTGGACTATGAGGAGCGATTAGATAAACTGGGTATGTTCACACTGGAGAAGAGAAGGTTGAGTGGTGATATGATTACGATCTTTAAGATTCTGAAGGGAATAGATCATGATAAGCTGCTTTAACTTGTACTGAACAGTAAAACAGTAGGACACAGCCTGCGATTGAAAGGAGGGTAAATTTAGAACAAATCTGTGGAAACATTACTTCAGTGAACAAGTAGTAAACTTATGGAAAAGGTTCCCTCGGGAGACAGAGGAAGCACTAAATGTTTGTTTCATGAACAAATTAGATAAATTTCTACGAAAAAAAATAACATCTCAGGATACCGTATATAGTTTGGGACACATGTCAAGCGACCGCTAGGATGGTGGAAGTTGAAGTAGATGGACCTTGGTCTTCTGAGTAACACATAGATTCTGATTCAGCAATATCATTGGAGGGAGGTCCTGAACCTGGTGCTTTCCAAAGAGGAAGAACCCTTGGAAGTCATGTCACATCAGACTGTTTTTGTGCACAAATTAGTAGGTCACCTAAAGGCAACAATGGAAGCTTTTGACATATTGTGAATATTCCTTCCCCCTTTTGGGAGGCACCAGGTCTTTTTTATTCAGGACCTCCCTCCAATGATATTGCTGAAATTGGGATCCATGTGCTTCTTAATCAGTAAATTGCTATTGTTTAAGCTGTGCCTTGCCCACAAAATATACAAATCACTGCACTTCAAAGTACACCTTGGGAAGCACTAACAAGACATCCTGACATGAAAGGAGTTATATCATATGTAATTATTGTTATTTATTATTGCCTGTCTATCTTCTCTTACATGGGGATTGGTACTTCGTAAAAGAGGAAAATCAAAGAATACAGCCCTCTCTCCAAAATAAAGGAATAACACTGGTGTACTCGGTTTCCAATTTGCCTGCTGATATACTGTCGCCTTGGGCTCCTTAAATATCCTTATCTGAAATAAGGCACTAGGATTACAATTAGTGCTCGACAGGGCAAACCAGGACATTCGGATTAGAGCAGCATTCATCTTGAAGGGACCCTCTTGTGCTAGTAGTCACTGTATCTGTAAATCAACTGTATAAATACAATATTCACTTTTAATGGTGTTGAATAAGACTATTGTATTTAATATGCAGCATTATTTGCATTACTGAGTTCTCATCAGGGAAAAACAGGTTGTTGCCATTTGCATTCACTTTGACTATGACGGTGAAACTCAAGAGGTTTATTATTAGATAAGGTCACTGTATTGTGCTTACAAGTTTTCATACCATTCAGCATAAAATGGAATAAAGAATTAACTTCACAGCAAAGCCAATTATAGTATTAAGATACATAAGTGACATGTGAGTGAATTGTGTGGCTAACTGGATTACTTTCGCTTTACCCACCAAAAAAACCACCCTTGATGCCTCTAATCGCTCACACTACCGTCCCATTTCCAACCTACCTTCCTTGCTAAAGTCCTGGAACACATTGTTGCAGGTCAACTTCGGTCACACCTCTCCCTCCACTCTCTCCTGCAGTCTGTTTTTTGTCCTGCCCACAGCACAGAGTCAGCGCTTGCTAAGTCACAAACGACATCCTCTATCTGTGATCAGAGCTCCCTTTGCCTCCTGGATCTCTCTGCCACATTCGACACAGTTATCCACTGCCTCTCCTCCCTCATCCACCTTCATGGGACCCATTCACATGGTTCGAGTCCTACTTAACCAAACGCCTCCACTTCATATTGGTAAATGGTTTCTCCTCCTGCCTCTACCCAGTCACCTGCGGGGTACCCTTGGGCTCCATCCTTGGCCCTCTTCTTTTCCTCATCTAAATGCTCCCCCTTGGCAATGTCATCGCACTCCTCGCTGGTCTTCCCAGCTCCACTGTTCAAAAAATCCAGCTCATTCAGAACTCTGCTGCCCGCATACTGACCCGGACCAAATTCCGTACCCACCTCACCAGTTCTGGTCAGGCTCCACTGGCTCCCCATCACTAAACGGATCGACTTCAAAATCCTCAAACTCAAGATCCTTCACTCCCTGGCACCTCCCAATCTTTCCGACCTCCTCACTTTCCAATCCACCACCCGGAACCTCCACTCGACTGGCACTGGCTTCCTACTTGTCTCTCGCTCCCTCCACTCCACCACTGAGGTCATGCTTTCAGCCACTATGCCCCAAAATTGTGGAACACTCTCCCTCAATCCCTCCACTTTTCCCCCTCCCTCCCCTTTTTCAAGTCCCACCTGAAAACCTTCGTTTTCGACTGTGCTTACAGTCACCTACCTCACCCCCCCACCCCCAGGGCTCGGAGTTAGGCTCCGCCACTGTTAAACACTGTTCTAGACTTTCTCTCACAAAAAGTATTAAATATTTCAAAATAAGATTCATTTGCCAGGAAACCTGAGAGATTAGATTGTTGGTAATAAATGAAAAGCATAGTTTTTTTAATCCACTGCTGTTAAGTCTGGGGTTTCAAGGTCTCCTTTGTTTGTGCACAAATCTTGAATCTGCCAGACGTGAAATAGTTGCATCAAAAGATTCAAGGTAGATTCACTTTTGGCAGCATAGCAGTTAAACAAGTGGTAACAAAAACTTCTCTTGCAAAAAATAAACTTCCAAGTCACAATGCAATAATTGTGGGCCAATCATCTGATAATTTAATAAGTTCATGGATTCTTAAGGTCACTGTATTGTCAGACCCATCATATTTCTAGCCTAAAGATGATAAAAAACGGTATTCAAATAGCCAGCAATATTGAGAAACGGCTGGTGATCATTCCCCTGTAGTGTTACAAACATGAATATACAATTATCTTCAATAAAATGCAGATGGTTAAAAAAAGACCAACACAACTCAGTTTTGTTGAATTCTTTGGCTGCATTTGAAAAGTTGATTCATTGATCTGTTAGCATCCAACTAAAATACTCTTAATAATTCATTCAAATTATGCTTTTCTTGCTTTATATACAGTTCCTGAATCAACAATAACAAAAATAACTTTTGACATTTCTATATTTTTTTTACAAAAGTCTTTTATAAATATTTAAAAAATGTGTACAAAGCATCTCTAAAGAGGACCAGATCTAAATACTACACAAAATCAAAGAATTTAAAGCAAAAAACCCCACAGTTGTATCTTAGAGCCCATAAGTGAAATTCTCCTCCTATCTTTTCTTGTGAAGTCAATTTGTAAGGCCTCACTGATCAAGGTATTTGTTGTGCTCTTCACTTATGTACTGGGACTTACTGCTAAATGTGCAAGACAAAATAATAATACAGGTCTGCAAAATGGGAATACAATCACCATTTTTTAGATCCAGAAATTAATGGGTCACACTGGGACCATCCACACTGTATTTCTGTTCAGGCCTTAAAAGGCTCAAAGCATTCATACTTAGTGGGATTTAAATAAAGGGACAATGCAAAATTATAGCGGTCTGCCATTTCAGTATCAACAGTTACAGCTTTATGTTTTGATTTAAATGGGAATGTTGCTCTCCACTATTCAAAAATTAACTTATTGGCACTCAATTCTCAATGTTTTACATAAAACAAAAAAACTAGAAAACAACACTTTCACATTAAATTACAAATAAAAACACAAATTACTACCACAAACTCAAAAGCACTCTTAAATTCAGCAGAGTGCCTTTTACATGAATTCAGAGCTTTAAAAAACTCAATAAAATTAAATATCTCTTCTTGACTATTTTTAAAGAAGACTAAATATGTATCTTGTGCCACCATAATTATTTCTAAAGTACAGTACAAGCTACATATACCTTCCCTAAGTTCAAACTAGTATGGTTCAAATTAAATCAATTTCCTTGTCTTTACTGCAACCATCCTCTCCAGGAGTACCAACCAGTCGCTCTCAGTAATACAACTGAGTAACATGCTACTTCCTTTTCTCCAGTTTCATCTCTCTAAGTTGGGAATGCAGTTGATAATCTGTCATTTCTGTTGCTGCATGCTCACATTATCAGCATTCTAGTATGCTATTTACTGCTGCTTCTAAAACAGAGTCTGTTTCTCTGATACCTTCATTATGGTCTGGGATAGGTTTCTCTAAATAGTTCTCCACAGGAGCTACGGGTGAACATTGGGGAATTTCAAGATCTGGTGAACTATTTCTGATGACTGCATTGTCAGGAGGCTTCTGAACTTGTTGTAAATCCAAAATGCTATTAATGGCACACTCCAAATGCTCATGGAGTGATGTGTCATGTTGTACTTCCTTTCCATCTTTAGTTTGCACAGAAGTAAAGTCTTCCAGTTGAGAATTCTTAGCATCACCTTGTGACCGATCATGCCAAAGCAAATCTGAGCCACCCTGCACATGCTCCAATTCAATAGAATTACCAGTTTGATTAAAGACAAGCTTCTTTACTTCCTTTATAAGACCTCCTGCAGTAACTTCATTACAAGGATTGTTGCACTTTTTCTCAACATCAGTCCTGTTTTCTTCTCCTATACATACTTGTACAATTCTCACAGCAGGTTCAGTTGCGAATGTTCCTTTCGTGCTTTGTGCATCTACATGACCAGATTTGCGAACAGCAGTGATTTTACCACCTTGAGTTTTGATAGCCGACTGCTCTTGACTTTTTAAAGATTTATTTTGTGTTGGAATGCCACAAACTGTCCCTTGTTTGATTGTTAGTTTGAGTCCTTTGCTGTGGCTACTGCTGCTGTAGGATTTTGCAAAGTATGGACTGTGCCTGGGAGAGCTTGTGGCTGTTTTGATCCCACTTCCTGCAGAAGAAGTTGTATGAGACAATCTTGAAGATACACTCGTTTGGCTGAGAACAGTGTTCGCTGACGTGGACTGGATGCTGCCACTGCTTGGAGACAAGTCTGTAACTATTGTTGCTGTTTCAACTGTGGATTTTACACATAAAGCAGAGGAGCAACAGAAGTTTGCCAAATAGCCATCTAAATAAAGAAAATAAAATGTTATGGGGGTTTAAAAAAAACTATAAAGAAATGATACGGATCACTACAAGCAGAAATAAAATTGTCACTGTGGTAATGGAAAAACAGTTAGCACATACCATGTAGAGTCATGAGGATTTTCTGATGAATAAAAATTAAAATGTGACTGTACTAATAGTAAAAGTTCCCATAAATATCAGCTAATGCTCAAAAGATTAAAATCACATAGTCAGCTTCATGTTCGCTCAAATTCCAGCAAGTTACAATACTGCATAATCCTTCACACATATCTGTGACAAAATCAAGACTGTTAATCTGTTCCCTGTATAATAAATTGTATCATATAGTAAAAGGTAAAAAAAAAGTAAATGGAAAATTGCATTATGATTATCAGTCACCTTACCCCATTAACTGAGATTGTGGTTTACTTTTTAAATTCTGATTCTACGAGGCACTTTTGTTTAAAATGTGTAATATCCCCTGCTTTCTTGCCCACCCCACACACACAAATCTTTTTCCTACTGCCACGCTTCCTCCTTCAGTCGATGAGTAGGATTGTCTTAGCCAACATAGGAAGTGTTCTTCTGTGGTAAAGCACTTGTCATGACGTCACTTGAATTTTACAAACTGGGCACTCTTATGATCAACTTTTTAATTTTTAATAATTAAACTAATCTTACCAGAATTTGAGTGTATTAAAAATCAGTTTTTATTTTACAGATCATCGTTCCAACATCGGAGTGATCAAGACTGCCAAAGTTGAAACGCGTAGGTGTTCTCACCAGAATCCTCCGCAGATAAGCGCTTGTCCTGGATGAGGGATGCTTTCTCATCCTGATTAAACACTCGGTCAATCATCACCATCTCGGCAGAGGGATTTACCCGCTAAAAAAAAACACACAATAATGAGTTCACAAAAATATACTAATCAATAACAGTGAGTGTAACAAAAGTATACTTAAGTTTTACATAATTCTCATCTCAATCTCCAGTATGCTTCAACAATTTATATTACAGGTGTGGTAATCGAGTCACCAAGTTCTAAGAAAATAGGAATTAATCTAAAAATAAAGTAACATACACTCAACACATACATTAGCCATCTCTACTCTCGAACTGTTAAACATGAGTTTAAGATGCTTCCTGGTAGCTACCTTTAACCAGTGGAATGCAATACTGCTTACCTATAAACATATTCAAAATAATCTGTACCACATACCATGGCATCATCCAATAACAGTCTTCTATATTTGCTGAGCATCACCTCAGTGTGTTTCAGCAACTGTGTTGACAAAGCTTCAAATTCAGAATCCACTGTTTAGAAAAAAATAAGGCATTGAAGTATCTTATATCAACTCTAAACAATTATACCTTTGTAAATTACCAACTATTTTATCTCGGCCATGCAAAATTATTACAACTAGAAACCTCAACTGCTGTTTGTATCATTGCGGAACTCAAATATACACAAAATATAATACAAAAAAGTGTGCCACGTTCTTTCTTATCCTGCTCCTGCATGGTCAGACAGCTGCACGTATTGTCTATCTTGATATTCCAGTTTCACACCGTGTCATAAAACCCTGAGGTGACAATCCTAATTGTTGCGTGAGGATCTGTACAGACAAGTGATCACCTCAGAGCAGTTTTCATGAGTTGACATGAAGTACTTAGGGTTCCCTACATGAGGCACACTTTTCTAATGCTTTTAAGTGTTTTTTCCAATCCAATATCTGGTCTAAAAGTGATAATAAAATATTCAGATCACCACCTTTTTGAAATTCCATTTGGGAAGGTCGTGACCCCTGGAAAACGTGATATGGAAGAAGTCGTCGCATGGCGTCTTCTAGTGAGTTGAATGGAGTTTTGGAATCTGGCTGCAGAACATTTTTCTGTTCTTCTTGTAAGTGCTGATGAATCCTGGGGGAAAAAAATAATTACAAATAATAACGAAGACAAGTAACTAAGACTTAGTTGAGACAACTACAGTCAAACCTGTACGAGCAACCACCTCCATTCAGCAACCACCCGTTAGCCACCTTGGTACAGCCCCGGTTCACACACCCAACGACCCTTACTCAGAGGCCACTCTTATATAAAGGCCACTTTCACCAAGTCCTCTGAGTGGTTGTTGAAGACAGGTTTGACTGTAATTGTTAACTTAGTCGTCTTAACTAATTAACTAAGACACCTAACCAGGACTTGCACTATAATACATACTAATCTATCATGATACATACTAATCTTAAAACACATAGCTAAAAAAAAATGGCCAGAATCATCATGTCTGTGGGTATTAAAAGCTATTTGAATGGTAACTTTGTAGCTACTAATGAACTGTGAGAATGCAAATGTTAACATTCTCCATACCTCCTACAGTAAGTTAAGATAATCAGTACAATGCTAATTAAGCTATCTACTTGTACATTACCAGAACCAACAGTATCTAGTTGACCTTTGTTAAAATTGTGACAAGTTTCCTCTAGCAATAAACATAGAAAATGGAATCGAAAAACAACAACGCAATAAACATTTCAGAGAACAGGAACTTCAAACTTTAGTGGAACAATTCATTTGGAAAATGAACTGGATTGCATAACAAATACTGACAAATCTCACTCAGAAACAAAGGAAGACTTGTGCAGGAGTTAAGGTACACTGTTAAGGCTCAGCTTTATTCTTCAGCTGACTGTGCTATACCTGAGTTGGGCAAGCTTGATGCCAATACTGAATGTCTGTAATGAAAACTCCTTGCTTAAATGAGCAGAAAAGTGCCCCAAAAAGTTGTGGAGAAGGAGGATGTTTGGCCAAGTGAGACTCACAACACTTAAGGTAAAACAACCTCAAAATATCAAAATAAAAAAAGTTGCAGCACTGTACAAAGCACCTCAATGATCTCAAAACTAGATCAAAGAAAGAATGGCGAAGAGAAGACTCACACCATCAAAGGTTACTGACAGCACGTTTGACATCAGTAAAATGTTGCCATAATTCCTAATGTCATGTGCAAGGGACGGAGTATATTCAACTATGTTGATATACTTAGTTTTCTTTTAGGAAATAACATTATGGGATATAGCACATAGGTAGCTTGGGACATTTTTGCATGCGACCGCCAGGAAGGTGGAAGGCGAACTAGATGGATCTTGGTCTTTCTTCATCTAGCATTTCTTATGTTACGTTCTTATGTACTTTTTCATCCATGTCATTCACTGAAAATATAATCTGTATTGTAAACCAACATCAAATGGGTATAAATCCATATTAAAACACTTATTTAATGTTCACTGCCCACTTCAATTTCTTTTCCACAAAGTGATGAATTTAAAATGCTCATTAACAACCTTTAAAATAGAAAAACCTTCAGAGATGTCAAGCAGTCCAATGTCATACATTCAAAGATCATTTTCATATCTACAAGATATTTCACCCCATTGTCAGTTGGCGAGTTTTCAGACATTCTTTCCCCGATTTCTGGTACTCCATCCCAGAGTCCTTCAGCCTCTCTCCTTTCTCCCCACCTTTAAAGCCCATCTCGAAGACCTTGAAATAGTGTTGAGTTATTTTCTTAAATCATAATCAATAGTAACATTTGACTAATATTATTAACATTTTTTTAATATAGTTTAAAGTCTGTCCTGCTAGGTGGCCCTTTGTTCTGAAGTTTCCACTTCTGAATATTCAGAATTATGTGATTATTTTTGTTTTGTGTATTGTAAACGCATATCAGTTGGCCTGCCTAATTCCAGGCCACTTAGAAAAAATGGAGAGATTGCAATTTCTATTTCAATTTATATTGATTATATTTCAGATTAAGTAAGCTGTGTAATTTTCATGTAATCATTATAGATTATGCTTTAAACTGCTTAAAACTCCTAGAAATTCAGAACTGTCATTTTGAGATTAAAGCTAATCTTCACTCTGATGGCTATAAATGTTTTAGATTAAAACAAATTGGGAAAGCCTTAATCCAGCTCTCAGTAACCTGCAATTTAAAACTATTATGATTCAGCACATATGAGTAGTAACATTTGTAATCCTACTCAAAGGGACCATAAGGATTCCTGGTGTGGAAAGTGCAGAAATATGCATCAAAGTGCTCTTCCGTCGTTATTGTAATGTAAGGCACGTTTTGGGTCAGAATTAGTTTGCATTTGATCCTACAATACCTGACAAAGAGACTGCTTGATGGTGGCACTGGATGCCCAAAGTGGAAATATGTTTCACTTTGCATTAGCCCCGTCACCTGGATCAGCACAAAGGTTTAACAAGGAGAATAAAAGTCAATCATGTGCCAAAATGAAGGATAATGAGTGCCACAACCTCTATAAATTCATATTTTAACATGCTTCAGAATACAGATGACACATTTATGACTATCCCAAGAGCAGGGATATTAAATCTTAATCTACACATTGTACTGCTCCAAAGTTCCCAGAAAATGCAGATTGTCTGATTGATACTGCAGAAACTTTTTTCTGAAAATTGCAGGCGAGTTTAATATTAATAATACTTGCATTTGATATAGCGCTTTTCATGTCTTCTAGATGTCTCAACGTGCTTCACAGAATATACTGTAAAGTGAATTGACTGTATATTTGTGGGCGAAATGCAGAAGCCAATTGCACACAGCAATGTCCCGCAAACAGACGTGGATTGAAGTGACCAATTTTATTATTGTTTTTTTCTTTTGAGAGATTTATTATTAGGTGTGTGGAATAAGGAAACTTCCCCATGGTTTCGCCCTGCCGGGAATCAAACCCAGGTCTCTCACTTCCGAGGCGAGTGGCTCTAACCACTGAGCTACAAAACTCCTACAAAGCGCTTCACAGCGCTTTATTTACCCTAATAGTTGTATCAATTGATATTTTGGTCATTGCGTAACAACACATTACAGCTCTGTTTAATGCAATACAGAAAAGATGACAGCAATTCATTTGCAGTCAGAGAAGGGCTACCAACATTACCACACTATAAACAATAAGGTTACCACACACAGGATGGTTCTGGCCAGGAGAATTTCTTCAAAAGCTTAAATACTTTTAAAATATGTAGTATTCGGCTGATCAAATACATACAAACTTTCTTTAGTAAGTTGCTTTGATGCAGGTCTCTTCTGTCCCCCAATATGGCCATCAAACTAGAACAAAACAAATTATAAAGTATTTAGTATCTTAAAATACATATTACAAATAACTATACCAAACATTTCAGAAGCAATTTAATTTGGATGATGAAAAATATGGTTGCAAACCAACTCCCAGCAGTTTAAGTGTGAGATGTGACATTGTAAAACAGTGCCATCTCAATTCTTTCACTGCAAGTATCAACATTCTAATCTTCTTAAAAACACATGGTGGCAAAAATGCCCTACAGTATTCAATACACTCAAAATCCTGTGTTCTGAACTCTGAATATCAAATATATTTGTAAATTTAGCTAAGAATTTACATATCCGCTTTACAGTTCCCCCTAATTGATATCAGCATTCTACAATTTGAAGTTGCTCCCTAATTAACATCTGAGGATTTTATGGACAATTAAAAGGTTTTTTTTTGCAAACATTAAAGGATCTGAATGATGACCAATACATCATTGCATTTAAATGTTTCCATCAGCTCTTTTAGTGTTTTTATTCCCAGTTAATTTTATGATAAACAATTTTCTAACACAAGTTGCGAAAAAGTTGCAGATTTTGCCTGTCGAAAAATACAAAGTAGATATAGATATACAGAAAATGAGAATTGAAATGCCCATTTTTAAATCATGGAAAAAGATTTCTACAAAACAATTTTTTATTTTTTCATTCAAAAATATTGCAATAATTCTTAATGAGTTGAGTTGAAAACATTTGCGAAAAACATGGTTTAATGAAAAAATCAGCTTTACATTTGAAATAAAACATTTTGTTAGAATTTACCTTTAATATTGACCTATTTTCTAAGCTGCATTTTTAAGCAGAAACAAAATGGTGGTTCACATTCAACAGCATTGACTATAACGCACAACTAAAAATCTGAGGGTTCAGAATGAAATCCTAGGCATTCAAACTCATGATATGCAGTAACTTAAAGATGATGGAATATTTTTTCTTCCCTAAGAGATTGCATTCTCTTAGGGAAGAAAAAAAACACGAAACACAGCCTGCAAAACATTTCTCGTCAGCTGATGCAGAATAACGCTGAGATGGTGGAGAAATTTGTAATCTAGACTTTGCCTGTTCCTCCAGTTGGAGGAAAGCAAAGCGATGGGAAAAGCAGCAAAATAAAACAAAAATAGAGATCAAGTCAAATACATTTCAAAAATGGACAGAAATTTGAGCCTCCTTCCACTCATCAAACTTATGGAGAGCATCTCCTCTTCTATCACGAATCAATAAACTCTCTTATCTACCACTAGGTCTAAAACACGATACAATTTGGGAAAGTGTTGTATTAGGTTGCAGCAACAATCAGAAATGGAAGCAAAACCAGAAATAAAATGCACTTTTCCACTAAATACACAAAGATCATATATTGCTTTGTGAACTCCTAATAAAATGAAAACTATAAATGAATGTAAATAATTTAACATGAAAATTTGCAAATAATTTAAATAATTTAACATGAAAATAATTTAACATGAAAATTTGCAACTACAATTACTGCTACTCCAAACAGGATTGTGCTTAATTTTTGGTAGTGCAAATAAACAGCTGATGCCTATGGCCAGCCTGACCAAAGCAATGATAATGCAATACTGTGATTGCTTAAAGGTATGTTTAAAATAGAGTATCCAGATCTCAATCACATGCCTTCCTGAAAGTGACACAACAACAAAAATTATATTTGTATAGTGCCTTTCACGTTGGGAGGATGTTTCAATACTTTCATAGATAACAAACACAATGGTTCTCAAAAGCCAGGGACATGTCATTAAAGTAGTGTCCTTATAGTGAAAAGCAACAAATGCTGCAAGTACAATTACTGTTTTTGTTTCACAAATGATTCGATGTGCAAATATTTTGTTTGTTTTGGGTTCTGCAGGTTCTGCAGAGAAATCAAGATGACCATAGAATCCATATCAACAATTGCATTAACCGTTTCAACTGAGATGTGAATCTAGTATTATGTCATAATACAAACTATGATATAAAAAGATAAACAGAATACTCATAAAACATTGCTCAATTTGCAATCACAGGTACAAGAAGAATTCAGGGACTCAGATGGAAGTCAAAATCAAACAAACGTGCTACCATTTTATGTACTGTGCACTTTATAGCTAGAGAGAATAGCACTGGCATATATTGTCCTGGGAATTGCATCCATGTACATTTATGAAGACAAATGGCTTTTATGGGTGAATAAAATTTTAGTGGAATAAAATCTAGGAACTAAATAATTTCCAAGGTAATATTGCCCTTTCACATAAAATAGTGTAATCCAAATGTAGTGGGAGGCTAACTGGTGAACATGTTGCTTTCACAAACACAAAGAGATCAGTCTTTTTGGGTGTCGTCAACAAACACTGCAGTACATTCAATTTTAGGATTTTACTGATTGAACATTCACTCAAACTCAAGCTGAGGTCTTGTGCTTCATGACATTTAACTACCTCTACCCTATCATAAACTAAATTACCCTATCTTAAGAATACTGTTTGTATGAAGCCTTCATATGAAAAGCAATAAACCAATAACTTGCGAAATAAAGGAAAATTAGCAAAGCATTTTTTCTTTGCACAAGAAAGGTTTTTGTTGCCATTATCCTAAAAATAAATTGTGAATCCAGAAAAAAAAGCACTTGGGCACTTGTGATTTCCATATCGAAGTGAGATTGGCGGATCACTGTTACAGGGGTAATAATTCCTTCNAAAAAAATGTGGTCACTCAATCCACGACTGTTTGTGGGACACTGCTGTGCACAATCGGCTGCCATGTTTCACCCACAAAATATAGTCAATTCACTTTACAGTATATTCTGTGAAGCGCTTTTAGAGATGTCTCGAAGATGTGATAAGGAGCTATATCAAATGCGAGGATGATTATTATAATTTTAGCAAGGCCACCAGGGGCATGCACGGTCTCCCCAACAAGGAGGGAAATCCAGAAAGGTAATCAAACTTATAACACACCAGAACAGGCATGGGAATAAGTCAACATCTTGGACAAGGAATGGTGTGGCACTCAGAGGCCTAATCAGAAAAAAAAATAAAAAGACTAAAAATATATATTTTTTTAACTGAAAAATTTCCAGAAATAAAATAGAAACAGAAGTGTGACAATATTTTTTAAAACCTGCCACATAATCATTAATAGGTATGGTTTTGAAAAAAATTAAAAGTCAGTCCAAATGCGATGAATAGAAAAATTCATACAAATGTCATCGTAGGTTCAAATAGTTGGATGGAAACTCACTCTCAAGGCTTTCTTAAACAACAGAATGACATAAAATGCTCCCTAAAGATCCTTGTATAGCATTGGTATTTGGACACTAGAATTTAGTAACTACAAATAATAGATTCTAGCGTAATTAGAACTTGGGTTGAAATCAGATAGTGTGAGGTAAGCATCCAACATGGTTCCTTTTAGCTTCTTTTTTAAAAAATAAAGTTATATTTTACATATTTTGAAACAAAATGTGGCTGGAAACTCACAAAATACAAACTACCCATATTTTGGATCACAAGTTAAGACTGTCCTACCTACAATATCTCAGTAAAATCTTGGTAAAGAATATATATGAACAGCATGCATAAACTGTGGTGAACTTAATACTCCTCTTCAAGAAAGAACATTGCCAGAGATAAACAAATTGAACCAGAATAATAGCAATATGTATGGAAGATACAAGTAGAAATCAAGGCCGTTTGCTTCTAAACCAGTTTTAACATGCTTTCTTACATTAATAACAATAATATATAGCACCTTATCATGTTATTGACTGGATTGATTGGATATTTTATTACCATTGGCAATAAAGAAAAACTTAAGACTTCCAGAACTCAACTTGAACAACTATCCCAGTTTCAAAAGTAAAAAAGGAATACAACACTTTGGTTATTATTAATTGAAAAATGAACTTATTTTCATTTACGTTTGGTAAAACTTTCATTTATGTTTGGAAGCTAAGATAGCAAGAATAATCCTTGCATTTTAAAATAGCGCCTTATCATGTCTTTGAGACGTCTCAAAGCGTTGACTGTATATTTTGCGAAACGCAGCAGCCAATTGCGCAGAGCAGTGTCCCACAAACAGTCATGGATTTAGTGACCTTTTTTTGTTAAAAAGGTATTATTACCATCGGAAAAGTCTTCTGCCAACCGGGTTCCTACTTGCTGCCCAGGAATCGAACCCAGGTCTCTTTCTTGCGCAGTGAGTGCTCTAACCACTGAGCTCCAGGAAGCTAAACATAGGGAAAATGTAATTTTGTTTTAAAATCACACTGAAAAAATATTCTGGATCTATAATTTTATTTCTCAAATTTTCAAATGCAATATCTCCACTGCTGCGAAGCTCATGCTTGCATTTTTTCATCACAATTTTAATTGGAGCTACATACAAATGTAATTTTGTTGTTGTTGTCGGGCAATTCTTTCTGCAGAAAGTCTAATCTATCATGAACTTCATCCAAACCATTTAATCCCCTTAAAGAAAATCAGAAGTTATTCCTCCTCTTTACTCAAAGGTACATCCAGCAAAGCTCCAAAATACCCATCTTACATCCACCATTATAAATTCTGCCTTCCTTGGCATGACAGTTCCATGGTTCTATGAGCTCATGAATCATTATATTCCACACAGCACTGGTCATTTCTATCTGCATTAATCCTTATAACTCTGTGCTTCTTCTTAATCACATACTCTATTTGTTCAGTTCTTTTACAAAGTTAATTGACATAGGATTAATTATTTTGTCTGAGAAATTCTTCCATTTACCCACAACTCTGTGGGGGGGGAAATTCTCTATTCTCAAGTTCTTAGGTATTTAATGTACTTGTGCCTTCTAACTGTGCAAAAGTAGTCAAAAGTTAAATAACTTGCTTACATAATAATCATAATAATCCTTGCATTTCATATTGCGCCTTATCACATTATTGAAATGTCTCAAAGGGCTTCCCAGAATATACTGTAAAGTGAATTGACTGTATATTTTGCGG